TTCACCACACTCAAGCCCATTGTCAATCACTGTGCCCATCCATTTCATTGAAAGTCTTCCTCATTTTTATGAACCTTCTATTTTTCTAAGCATGAGATTTTTCTCTAAGGACCTTGAAATTTAAGACTAAAGATTATCTGAACTAAGACTGTACTCTTAAACCTTAGAAAATGTTTTATTGTAGAAAACCCTAACTTAAAACTTTGGTGGGTTTTTTTTTCGTGGTCTAAAATAAACTGAATAAAGGATAGGGAAATTTAGAGACTATGGCCACAATGAATCATACACCACCATACTATAGAACTAGTCAGAAAATTTTTACTGATATAAACAGAAATTTCTATTTCACTTATTTCCCTCATAATTTCACATAAAAAAGAGGTTATATGTACATTTCAATTCTGGATTAAACTGAAAATACAATTGTTTGTTGTTGTTATGCGCCGTTGAGTCGTCTGCGACTCATAGCGACCCCATGTACAACAGCCCTAAACCATGCTTTATCCTGTGCCAATCTCATTTGCCTCTGACACACCCACCCCAAGTGCCCCAGTCACTGAATCAATCCACCTCATAGAGGGTCTTCCCCTTCTGCGCTGTCCTTCTACTCTACCCAGCATGATGTCCCTCTCTAAAGACCTGTCTCTCCTTACAACATGTCCAAAGTATGTCAGATGAAGCCCCAGAATCCTTGCCTCCAAGGAGCAGCCTGGTTTAATCCTCTCTACGATGAATCTGTTTGTTTTCTTGGCAGTCCATGGTACATTCAATACTCTTCTCCAGCACCACCGCTCAAAGGCGTCAATTCTCCTTCTATCCTCTCTAGTCATTGTCCAACTCTCTGATGCATAACAAGTGATCGCAAAAACCATGGCCTGTATCAGGTGGACCTTAGTCTCCAGAGAGACACTGTTGCTCTTCAGTATTTTGGAGAGGTCCCTAACCGCAGACTTTCCCATCGCAATACGTTTTTTGATTTCCTGGCTACTGGTGCCAAGAGTGTTGACTGTGGAGCCGAGCAAACTGAAGCTGTGAACAATCTCAATCTCTTCACCATCCATCCTGATGCTACCGATTGGTCCAGTGGTGAGAATTTTTGTCTTCTTGACATTGAGCCTCAGTCCATATTGAAGGCTGCAGTCCTTGACTCTCTGCAGTAAGTACATGAGGTCCTCCTCAGTTTCAGCGAGCAAGGTTGTGTCATCTGCATAACGCAGATTGTTGATAGATTGTCCACCAATCCTAACGCCACGCCTCTCCTCATAGAACACCGCCTCTCGGATAATCTGCTCTGCATACAGGTTGAAAAGGTATGGAGACAGGACACATCCCTGGCGTACACCCTTCCCAATTTTGAACCATGCAGTGTTGCCCTGTTCTGTTCTGACGACTGCCTCTTGGTCCAAGTATAGGTTTCACATTAACACGATTAAATGTTCTGGGATTCCCATTCTTCTCAGAGTCAGCCACAGTTTGTTATGATCCACGCAGTCAAATGCCTTTGCATAATCGATGAAACACAGATAGACATTCTTCTGGTATTCTCTGCTTTCAGCCAAGATCCATCTAACATCAGCTACAATATCCCTAGTACCACGACCCCTTCTAAACCCAGCCTGGACTTCTGGCAGTTCTCTGCTGATGTACTGTTCCAGTCGTTTTTTACCTGATTGCATTATATATCTTCTGACACAATATGCCAAGTAATTTAAAAGAACAGCTGTACAAGTTCTAAATCATAATTTAGTTTAAGAAGACTATCATAATGTAAAGGTTTTTTTCCTTATTTCATGTTCTAATAAATAGAACACATGATATATAGAAATTACTTTATAACACTAGAGAGATAGCCCTGACTTAAAGACATTTTTAGTAATATCTAGTTTTTCAGATATTTCATTGGAATATACTCTATCTTACATTATATTATAATGTTTCACAAATATACACCAGTATTTTAAAATTATATCTGTTGTTATCGCTAGGTGCCATCAAGTTCTGTACAACTCATAGCAACCCCGTCAACAAGAGGTCTAAACCCTGCCCTATCCTGGGCCATCCTTATCATTTCTGACCCATACTTGAGCCAATTGTAGCAGTCACTGCAGTTAATCCGTTTTATGCTCTTCCTTTCTTTTTATGACCCTTGACTTTCCAAGCATGATGTCCCTCTCCAAAGAATCGTTTCTCCTAACAATATATACAAAATATGTGAATGGAGTTTTTCCATCTTTGCCTCCAAGGAACACTCTGTTTATATTATCTCCAAGAATATCTGTTTGGTGTTTTTTTTTTTTGGCAGTCCATGGAATATTAAGTACTCTTCTCCAATACCATGACTTGAAGACATCAACTCATCCTCTGCCATGCTTATGCACTGTATGGCTCTCAGATCTGTACACAGTGACTGAAAATCTATGACTTGAATCAGCTGCACCTTGAATGGCATTTAGTTATACATTAAAAACAAAACATAAGATGACTTATTTGAGGTGAATTCACTCAGAAAATGATGTAAAGGCACTAATTTTTTTATTAATTGAGCAATCATAGCAGAAACATTAGGAAAATTACTCATCACACCTCCTACTACATAAACTTCTACACCAGACTTATTAGTTTTTCATTTCTGACTATAATATGATAAAAATGCTAATATATTTTCTTTTTAAAAAATAAGATTAATAGCAAAGTTTTAACTCAATTTTATTTTAGATATAAAATCTGAGTAACTTTATCTTGAAAAATACATCTTAAAATTCTTTTCATAAGCCACAGACTGGGAAAAAATATTTGGTAATGACATGTCTAATAAAGACTTATATGTAGAATTTATAGAATACTCAAGTGCCACAAGATAAAGGTAAACAATACAATTGCAAAATAGGCACAGGATAGGAATAGACACTTCACCAAAGAAGACATTCAGATGGCAAACAAACACATGAAGAGATGTTTAAAACCCTAGCTCAAGAGAGATGAAAATTAAAAGTATGAGATATCATATCACCCCAGTAAGAATAGTAAAATTTAACAGAGCAGCAAACAGCAAATGTTGGTGAGGTTGTGGAGAAAGTAGAACCCTTGTTCACTGTTGGTGGGAGTGTAAAATGGTGCAACCACTATGAAAGGCAATATGGCAATTTCTCAAAAAGTTGGAAATAGAAATACCACTTGACCCAGCAATTCCACTACTGGGAATATACTCTAAAGAAACAAGAACAGCCACCCAAGAAGATATATGCACACCCATGTTTATTGCAGCTTTGTTCACAATAGCAAAGAGTTTCAAACAACTCAAGTTCCCATTAATAAACAAAAGGATAGAGAAGCTATGGTATATTCCCACAATGGAATACTATGTTGCATTGAAAAACAAAGAACTCATGAAATAGTATACAAAATGGGTAACCGTGGATGACATTATGCTTAGTGAAATATCTCAGTCATAAAAGGACAAATACTGCATAATGCCACTGTTGTAAAACTCGACTGACATGGGGTTGGGGGAACCTAAGAAAAGAGGGGATAAATAATGTATACTGATTTGAAACAGGTGAGGGAAAGAACTGTTTAAAATGAATATAGAATTAGGTATTATTTTCATGATAAGATTACAGAAAAAGAAATGCGTAGTCAAGTGAACTATGGACTTGGTGGGGGTATTGTATAACAATAAGAGAATTTTTTTTTTCTTTTCAAAGAGAAAAACAAACTGGGGGAGGAGTGGGCAGGGAAGAAAATGTGCAACAATGAATGAATGAAAATCCAAGTTCTTTACAAATGTTCATTAAAATCTCAATTAAAAAAATAGAAAAGCAAGAAAAACTATATGATAATCCAGGTAGAAGTAGAAAAATAGCTTGAAAAATGTAATTTAAATTTTTTTTTCATATACACTAGTGAACTGTTCTTTATCTTACTGTTTAAATATATGAAGTAAAATATAACAGGGAAGGAAGAAGCAAAGTAAGAGGAAATTTATGTTATAAAAAATAAGCATTAGAGTGTTTTTATATATAACTCTTTATAAAATGAAAATGACAATGATAAGACCTTATCTTCATTGTCAGCATATGACATACAAGGTTTTAAGAACTTTAATTAAGCTTCACCTTCTGTAAATCTACCAACATAAGTACTTTTTACAAACAAAGCTGGAATACATAAAGTACAATAGCTGCAGTATGAAATAAAATAACAGGAAAGAAAGGGAAATTATATTACTATAAATACATCTCAACTTTCGAAGTATTTGAAATTAATGATTAAAAGAACTTGTGAACATAAATGTAGGGATGTGTGTGTGTGTGTGTGTGTGTGTGTGTGTGTGCGCGCGTGCGCATATTTTATATACCTATCTACTTGTAAAAAAATTTGGGAACGTTCATAAGGTACATAAAATACTAGCTATAAAAATTGTCATTTGAAATAAACAAAAATTATTTAAATAGTACTCTGTCCTATTTTTGTTTCAATAGTTTTAAATTTAAACATTAGTTTACTTCTTATGCTTGATGCAAGAGGTTTTTTTTTTAATTTACACAGTGTTATCTTTAAAAAGCAAAGAAAGAGGTTCTTATCAGGAAAATAGAAGGAAACACTGATATCGCACAAAAATATTTTAATATCCTATAGACAGGGCACATTTGCATAGTAAATTATGGAATGCCACTTTGGAAGACATTGTTGATACTTCAATTGTATACTTCTTCCAAAACAAGAAGCTATGACTAAATTCTTCAATTTGCCACTAAAAGAAAATGCCTGTCTAAGTCTAGCTTTCCTTAAATATGTTCCATTTCTTATAATTCACATGACACTCTTTGGCTGTGGTTGTCTGTTAAATTTCCTGTTTTGGTCTAGTTTCAGCAAACCAAAATAAATAGCTCATAAAAAGGCTATGGTGACTAATTCTTTTCTTTTCTTTTGGTATTTCTCACTAAGAATTTTTGCTTAGAGGTACAGAGGAAAACAGCCTCGGGTATGGTTTAACTAGGTCAGAGAAGCTTCAAAGCACCAAAAAATGTGCCATCTCCATCCTGTGATATTTGAGCGTTTTCTCGTGGTATTGCAAGTTGAAGTTCATCTCCTTCTTCCAGCTTTGCAATGCCTGAAAAGAATAAATTAGTAAGAGCATTAGGTAGTTGTAAAATGGAAAAGGAAAAAAATAAACTATTTGATTTAGAAAAAAATAAAGTTTAGCAGAAACATTTACACTTCAAAATACATCTGTGAACTATTAAACCAATTACTTCTACTCTACTAACCTAAAAAAATAGTAAGAATTAAGCTAAGGAGTTATAATACATGAAAGTATTTTTCACTCATGGTTAATAAAATTAAGAATCTGGGGAAACAATTCGATAACCAACTTTAGGAATAAAGAATAGAAAATCGTAGTAAATCTCTTGATAGAATAATACTACATGATATAATAAAAGGAAGTTTCTTGCTTAATTTTATTGTCAAGAAAACTTTGAATAGTAATGCCAGCATATTCATATGTACCACAGTTTCGATTATAATTTCTAATGTGCAAACATTCTTATATGGAAAAATTTAAAACCAAAATGCCATTTGTTAATATAAAACATCTTAAAAAAATGTTCTCTATAATCCAGACTCTAGAAAAAAAAGGAATCATTTGGATTACTTTTTTGTAGCTTTATAAAGTTATCTTTATAATCATAAGTGAGATTTTTTTAAATAAGTGACATTTAATTGTGTTAAAAATTAGTCAGAAATGTTCATGTCTGAAAATAGTGATGGTCAGTGAAACAGCATATAAAATACAATTCAAGAACTGTAGACAGTATATTGAGTAGTTCCTGATCTGATCTTAGAAGAAAATTAAGCAGAAAAAGAAAAGAGAAGAAGTGAAATGAAGACATGAAATAAGAAATAATAAAAAATAAACTAGCATGAGAATTCATAATGCCTTGGCAATTGAAAAAGCAGTTGCATTGTGTTATTAACAGCGTAAATGCATTTATATTAATATGTTAGTAGTTATCCTATCCTCAAAACCAAAGCAACCAGCTACACTTGGTGCTCAGCCAGTCACTGTTTGTTTATTGAACACTTTATTATGTGTCAAGCACCTTTCTAGACAGATAAGTGATCAAGAATGACAAAAGTTTCTGTTCCCACATATCTTATTTTAATTGCTTCATGGGTCAAAAGAAGACTGAGAAAAATATAAGATAACTTTAATTGCTACTACCAGCAGTATTTACAACTTCAAGAATTCAAAAGTCATTTTGTAACTACCTATAATCAGATAACAGTAAGGAAAATTTGGAAGATTTGCTTAATAGATTAATTGTTAGCAAAGAGATTAAAAGGTATCATATACTGATAATAGCTGTACATCACAAACCTCTAATATTGTTTCTCATCTCTACCAGTAGCCGGGAAATTAAAAGGGGTATTTCCATGGGAAAGTCTGTTGTTAGGGACCTCTCCAAAGCACTGAAGAGCAATGGTGTCACTCTGGAGACTAAGGTGCATCTGATACAGGCCATGGTGTTTGCAATCACTTGTTATGCATCAGAGAGTTGGATAATCACCAAGGAGGATCGAAGGAGAATTGATGCCTTTGAGCTGTGGTGCTGGAGAAGAGTATTGAGGGTACCATGGGCTGCTAAGAAAACAGATTCATCCTGGAAAGGGTTAAACCAGATGGCTCCTTGGAGGCAAGGATTCTGAGGATCTGTCTAACATACTATGGACATGTTGTAAGGAGAGACCGGTCCTTGAAGAGGGACATCATGCTTGGGAGGGTGGAGGGACAGCGCAGGAGGGGAAGGCCCTTTATGAGGTAGATTGATTCCGTGACTGGGGTAATTGGGAAAGTGTCGGAGACAGTGTGATTGACACAGGACAGAGCAGAGTTCAGGGCTATTATACATAGGGTGGCTAGGAGTCCCAAGCGACTCGATGGCACATAACAACAACAACAACATACTTCTTCCAGATAATAGCAGTTATTTTTACATTTTCCTACCAATTTATATTCAGGTTATTAATTAAAAAATGAAAGTATTCTGCTTGGGTTCACTGGCAATCTGTTAAGGTTCTTAAGGTGAGGTGCCCATTATTTTATTTCTTTTCTAGTTTAGAAGGAAGTACTTTGTACACTAATAAATTAACGTACACATTGAATAATTTTAAGCAACTTTACCCTAGAAAAGATTAAAATTGAAAAATAGAAAATTCCCAGAGATTATTTTAATAAACAATATTAATTAATTAGCACTGAAAAATATTTTTAAGAGTAAGTTGATTATTCTTCAATTGCAGGAACACTTAAGCAGCCTGGCAGAGTCCTCCATCATAATGGAAATATGTGAGAGTAGCAGACAATTAGACATTTTGAAAGAGCTAGTTTTAAAACTAATTTTAGAGCTAGTTTTAAAACTAATTTTAAAACGTTTTAAAACAAGTAGGAACTAATATAGCTAAATAATATATTAGAACAGGGTCAGCATTAATAAATATTGTGCATTGTCTAAATACTTGCCACCACAGCTCAAGGAAACATCCCTTTATGTAAATTAGGGAATTCAACTTTTATACACTTCCTTATCACCTATTTAAATCTATTGTTTTGACTACAAATCTTCAAATGACATCATCTCAATTATTTAGAACTATTTTCCTTCCATTCTTACCCATTTGTTGAGTTTTTATTTGTAAAAGCTCCTGAAATGGGCAGTAAGTCACCCATTCTGTGTTTCATACTGTTGTTTATGGCAACTGTCTGATTATAAACATCTACAGAGTTCTAGACAACTTTGATAAAATTTTCCAAAGAGCAAAGGTGTTTAAGTTGACTTGTCGTTTTTCTAAAGCCAGTCTTGATTAATTTGAAATTACCAAGACCCCAGATAAAATGAAATATAAATGGCCAAACCTGTTACCATCAAGTTGACTACGTCTATGGCGACCCCACATGTGCCAGCAAAGAACCATGTTCCACGGGGTTTTCAATACCTGGTCTTTTAAAACTGGATCACCTGCCAGCTCTTTCTTCTAAGATACATCTGGGTAGAACTCAGAACTGTTATCCTCTCAGTAAGCGGTTTGTCTTTAATTGTTTGTACCACCCAGACGCTAAGTTGGCAGTAATTACTTGAAAAGTCAAATTAGTAAAACTTGCCATTACCATTGTTGCTCCAGGTCTTGACTATTGCAGAGTTCTAACACAAGAGAGGGGTGATGAGTTCTGACTCCTACACTTTAACATCCAGAATTTTTGTCTGGGGTTCATTTATATCACGTTTCACCTGTATAAAAGCATCTTAGATTGAGAGAGTGATTCTGTCATCTGTTCTGCCTCTCAAAAGAAAACAAGGGCATTCCCTCAATAGCATGTAGAAGAGTTATATACTGATACTGTAAGACCCATAAGGTTTTAAAATGATTGACAGTGACTGCCATAATGGGTTACAGCATGACAGAGATCATAAAGATGGTGCAGGGTAGTCTGAGGTTCAGACCTGTTGTTCATAGTGTCACTACTGTAATAGTCATAAATGGCACATAACAACTATAGACCCATGCTGACTAATGCAAACCAAGTTCTAAAATCCAATAACATTCTAGTATAAGTTACATCACTTTTCTGAGCCTCACACTCTACATCTTTTAAGTGAAAAAGATTAAATTAGCAGGCTTATGTAAAGTAAATAAAATTCTTTGTGTTTCCTTGGAGACAAGGATTCTGAGGCTCCGTCTAACATACTTTGGACATGTTGTGAGGAGAGACCGGTCCTTGGGGAAGGACATCGTGCTTGGGAGGGTGGAGGGACAGCGCAGGAGGGGAAGGCCCTCTATGAGGTGGATTGATTCAGTGACTGGGATAATTGGGATGGGAGTGTCAGAGACAGTGCGATTGGCACAGGACAGAGCAGAGTTTAGGACTGTTGTACATAGGGGTCGCTATGAGTCGCAAGCGACTCGACGGCAGATAACAACAACAACAACAACAACAATCATGTTGTAGTTATTAGTTGTAAATGTTGAGGAAAACAAAAGTATCATTCTTCTCAGTGTTCGATGCTATAAAGGTACTGGTTTCTTAAATTTACATAAATAAAACCATTAGTAATGACTTTGTCTCAGTCATTTATTTTGTCTTATTAATTCAAGATACTACAAGGCACACTTAAATGAGAAATGTCTTTTCACCTATTTGTGTTTTAAAGGACCATCATTTCCTCTTATATTGTACAGCTAAGATTAACAACACAATATAAACAGCTCCATTTCAGAACCAGTAAATCTGAAATAAGTTATTTACCAGCTGAATAACAGGAATTATTGGGTAGTTTTTCAGGCATGTTTTGAATACATCGGAACAAAGTCACGAGACTCAATTCATCTCCAAAGACATGGACTTTTTTCCTCTGTATTAAATGTCCCATTGCAAAAGTGTTATCTGTATATAAAACCTGAAAAAAACAAAAAAATAAGTGTTGTCAGAAATGAGAATAAAAGGAGAAATGTTCAATAGTGAATATGCAATTCAGGTTTGAACATACCTGTCCATATATAAAGAAGTAACCAGTCTCTTTAACCAATATTTTATTTTCTTTTTCTTCTAAGGCTTTTCCTTTTTTAAAGCTTAGAAGCCACGGAACAAATGTGAAAGATCCTACAATTAAGAAAACATCCTATAAGAAAGAGTAAAAGGAAATTCTTACCTCCATTTCTGGACTGAAACTAAATTTGATGCTTAGAGAATTACACTGTAAATAGAAACTAAAAAGAAGACATAGACCAGTGTTCCTTTTGGTTTTTCAGCTATTATTTACAAACCAACCCAGGCAACTACAAGAATCAGGAACTTGAGTCACTTAATTTGAATGACTGGAGTTAATCTAGTTCTTCTTTATTTTAGCTATTTACCTATAGCTAGTCTGTGTGGAAGAATTTTAAAAGAGTGCACTACAATCTCTCTGAATAACATACCAAGAGATTTTTTGTTTATACTTAATTCTCAGAAAGAGAAAATATTTGAAAAGCTTAGTAAAGGTACTGAGACTAAGCAACTTTCACCTTTAGCATGACAGTGAGCCCTAAAGAGAAAGAAGTTAAAGTATAATCTTTGGTCAAGGAATTTTGTAACAGTTGTCTATGTTATTCATGATTTCTTATATATATATATATATATATATATATTCATGATTTCTAAAGGGACTTCTTCTAGTGTGGTCTGTAGCTTGTTGCACTGCTAACCAAGAAGTTTTGTGATTGGTGTATTAATTCTCTGTTTTCTGTCAAAAGATACCTCGTTGTGCTGTAGATAGTTCAAACCCACCAACCACTTTGTGGGACAAAGATGAGGCTATCTCCTCTATAAAGATTTATATCTTTGGAAGTCCTATAAAGTTGTTCTATTCTGTTGTATAGGGTAATCAATTCAACAGTAGTAGGTTTGGGAGTATTTTATCTTTCAAACTTCATTTAAGGAGTTACAGTAAAGTGCTCCACTAAAACCTTGGATGATGTGGGGTGGAAAGATAACAGTGGTTAACAGAAGTGAGTAGGTAAGACCAAGTCCTTGTATTTTGGGACATCGGAGCCTATCAAACCAGTTATCTGCCAGGAAGTCATCTTTAACTCATGACAACCCCCAAAACAGGCTTTTTTGAAAGTGTGCTGCTCGCCTTTTCTCCTGACAGTAAGACAGTCACTACACAGAGAAGACAGTAGCAGTCAACAACTTTCATTACAATAGAGGGGCAGCTCTATCCTTTCAGATTCACACCATTTCTCTCCACAAAAGTCCAGTGTGAGCCTTTTCCAAATTATCATTTTTCATTTTATCTTTTATCCTTAGCATGTTCTTGGGGCTTTGAAATATTAGGAAATAATTTTCTATTAAAAGCTGTTAAGTGTGTGTTTTTAGGAAATACAAAGCGATAAACAGTCAAAGATTTTGAAAATAATTTAGTACTTGTGTTGGGTTTATGATACTTAAAGTCCAAAAGAGAAGCCTAATTAATAACCTGGAAAACAAAGATGCAAAATAGCACTCAAGGGCTTAGCATTATGAGGCTAATCCGTATTTCCCATTTCTACTAGTTGTTTCCCAATTCCTGGTCCCCTGGTTTCATCTCCTGAAACTCTTGTGCCCACTGTTTATGTACATAATACAAGAATTTTCTGGTCTCTTCCTACTTTATTTTTCTCTAGAATTTATCACACTCTTTAATTCCACACTTTACATGTACACTTGGAGGCTGTTGTTTTCTTCTGGTTTTCTATTTTGCCTTTATCACAAATGCTCCATGAAGTTAGGAAATCATGCTTCTTTTATCCACTGTTAACAGAAACTTCAAATAAACAAAATAGTTTAAAACTGCCTATCTCTATGATAAAATGCCAAATTAGAAAGAAAGAGTCTGATATTATAATGAAATAAATTGACATTTGCATACAATTATGACATCTCTACATGCATAGTTTCATTTTTAAGAGTTCTAAAACATACTATAATAGAAGAATCAGTATTTGTAAAGCTGATCCTGAATAGGTACTAATCCAGAATTATTTCTAAACAATTAAAAATGAAATTCTGTTTAGGATTTATTTTGTCATATTTTAACTATTTGAACATATCTAAATACGATATAATATTACAACAGTGTGAGAATGAGATTATATTGATTTTGTAACTATTTTTAATAACTCTAAACTTATTTTACTTTTCATTGTAAGAAATGTTGAAGGAAGTACGTTGAATGTTGAAGTGATTTTAAACATAGTTCAAGCATAATCTTGATATTTTAAACTTTCATGTACTTTGACAAAATTTTAAGTGGGAAAAATGCTAGAGCCATCTTATTACCTTTTTGTATAGTGGGCGTTTCATTGTCTGCAATCAGTTGCAAGCAGTCTTGAGTGACTGAAAGCAAAACATATTCATTTAGCTTCTTAAGTAGAAGTAATAGGGTGAATAAAATGCCTGAAAAATCAAAACTATAAGCCAACTCTTTTTGAAATGATTAATCAGATATACCTTTTTTAAAAAAATGTATACTGGTTTACATACAAAGCTCATAAAGTTCATATACATTGTTCTTCACACCAGTTCTTTCCCCTTTCCTTTACCCATTCCTTGCTCCACCCATCAAATTGTGTGACACTGTGATTAAGTCCCCCCTACCACACTCCTTGGATCCTCATAGTTGTTCTACAGTAATGGTCTTATACAGTACTAGTCTTTATGAGACTGAGTTTCTTCCCTTAGCATAATGCTTTCCAGTGCCTCCCATGTTAGGTAGTAACTTACAAATACACTGCTCCTGCTTTCTGCATAGTATTCCGTTATATGAATGTACCATAATTTCTCAATCTGTTTCATTGTGTTGGGCATTTGGGCTGTTTCCATGTTCTTGCTACAAACAATGGGGTACAAGTCTCCGTTTGCACCTCAGGGAACAAACATTTGGCAATACCATCTCAGACAAGGGTCTCATAATGAAAGTTTAAAGATGCCTACAGGGCCTCCAGAAGAACAAAACAAAACAAAACAAACAAAAAAAAAAGAACAACTACAAAAAAAAAAAAAAA